CCGATTCCAACAGGTTTTTAAGCATACCCCAATCCCCGCGGGTTTCGTCCCTTGCAAAAGTGCACAAAGTAACAGTATTAATTAATGARAGCGACCATAGCATACTTAACACCTTCGGAACTTTAGACGAATGTCCATCTCTGCTTGTTGCCATGGAACAGAGTTCAATATGTAAGCTGAGGTTATATTTAAGTGGCACTTCGCATGCGGGAAATGCGCTGCACTTAACATAAAGAGTCAACAAAGTGAAATGAGTAAAAAATGGAATTTTTATTTTTGATATTTTACATGCTATTTCCAGCGTAATGTGGCAGCGGCAGCAATAACAACAACAATAACAGTAAGGGCGAAAGTCAGTCAGTAATGGCAAAAGCGAATGGCGAAGCAACAATTTGCTTTTAGTCCCTTACAACAGGTTGCACACGTGGCAAGAGGCGCATTTTAAGCAATCAGCTATGAAACACACACACAYACARATACAGATGTACATATTTATATTATGAGTGCGACCAATCAGTATACCACAYAGCCAAGCACACGCATATGCTACAATGTTGACTAACAATTCACACATGAATGCACACGCCCTTGCAACAGACTCACACACACACRCACATAAGCACATAATTACATWTATTTTTATGTATGAGTATGGGATCCAGTGAAATCAATAACGTGGCGTCAAGTGCCATGACTCAAAGGACATCGAACAACGTATGAACGTGGAACTGAGTCGAAAGGGCGTCGAGGGGCGGAAAGTAGCGGTGAAGTGAAGTGCAGGCCCAGCCGGCGCAACAAGCCATCAATAAAATTGTCATAAATTTATTTTTATATCAAATTGATATGCACGAATGCGGAGCGGTRTTAAAGTGTCGAGTGTCGAGTGCCGAGCAACGCTGAGCGGTGGTTGAGTGGTGACTGAGGAACAGAGTGCTCCGAGCAGAGCGGTGAGCAGCGTAGGCGCCGTGAAAGCYCTCAGTGGCAGCACAACGCGCACTTTACAATTCGAAACAACTAAAGTGCCAATGCAACGCTGGGTTGGCGGTGGAGTTTGTGGCAAGTAGTGAATGACGAAGCGGCTGACACTTTGGGTGCTTGGCGGACGTGTGAAAATGGTTAAAAATAATAATTTCATACGAAATGCGAATGAAATGAAAAGTTTATAAATAACTGATGTGTGTCAGTGCATACGCTTGCATGTATGAGTGAGTGTGTGTCCGTGTGTGGGTGCAAGTGTGAAGTGCAGGCGCAAAAACTATATGAAAATTTTATTAGCCATGCAAATGTGATGCGTTGACTGTTTCGCTTACAATTCCTCCAGCACCGCACTCTCTYACGCCGCGGCACTGCTTTAGCGTGCCACATACGTGTATACTTGAAACACGCTGCCAAAGCGCTTGTGTAGCGTTGCGCACTTGTTGCCTCGCATGCAATCAAAGTTCATGCCACAATGCCACACATATTGCGCTTTAATATACAATTCATAAGTGGCGATTGTGACGTGTGTGTGTACACGCGACATGTGCGCCACTGATGTGTGGTTAAGTGGTTGAAGGCATCGATGGCTGTTGAAAACTATTGCACGCAGGTGTAATGCAAGTGTGCCACCGCACTTTGTTTTTAAACACTGCAAAAGCTTTTTGAAAAATAATTCACTCCTTTTCAAATATGCTGAAGTGTGTGGAGAAAGTTTGAAGGCATTGGTTTTCTGAAGAATATTTTCATATTCATTAACTCAGAAGGAGACTCCGATTATTTTTAAGATTTTCATAAAGCTATGCTGAAAAATGTAAAATATTAAAAAAAAAAACAAGCTTGTGGCTCTGAAAAACGAATGTTATAATGAGGTTTAGCTTACTTTAAAGTCAGTGAGATGACGTCCAGTCGTTATTTGATCCCAAAAAGAAAACTGATGTGAAGATGCGTGAATTATCTTGAAATTTGTGATGATAACTTTCATTTGATGCGTGATATGATGTGATGTAGTGGAGTGTAAACGATGTATTTTGAAGAACTGTCATAAAGCCCGATGCGATGAGCTTTAATAGGCATGTTGTGATGTGACGCATTGCAATATGAAGTGATATGATACATTTTGAGTATGTTATGGTTTGATTTGTTGTTGTTTGAACAATAAAAATGAGGATCGGTGTGATGAGTTACAATGGAATGTGATGTGCCGATGATATAATTTTATTTTAGAACTATGATTTATTTTGAGGCAATGATTCGCATGAGAGTGATGTGATGTAATATGTTATGATGTGTTGTAATATTAAATAATGTGATGTAATATGTAATGCTGTGATTTAATATGTTATGATGTGACTTAATATGTTATGATGTGATGTATTATGATATGATGTGATGCAATATGTTATGATGTGATTTAATATGAAATGATGTGATTATGATGATTTCGATACTACCCTGCTATATACTTTAACTTGATATGAATGATGAAATGTGATTTTAAAGGATGTTGATAATAACGAACGTCATTCAAGTGAAAAATACATAGAACTATTCCGTGATCTGATTTTAATGTGGTAGAGACGCCATGTTTTATGTTATGAAGTGGTGAAACTGAATACTGATTAGAATATTATAGGAACTATAGTTGAAGGATGAGATTACATAAATGTTATATCACGGATTCTATGAAACATTGTAAAGTATTTGGATAAAAATTGAAATAATATAATATGATCGGATGGAAAGAAATGTCATATAATGGAAAGATGATGTGAATGAATGAAAAGCGAGCAAAAGAGACTTTTTATTGGACAATGTAGAGAGTTAGATCGATTATTTTTTTTTAAGTAGGAGAAGTGATGTGACTAGGTGTGATGTATTGAATTGACCAAGCGACATACATATTCTCATGTAACTAAGGTCTTCCATATAAGCTGTCTTCTGGCTCACATGCATTGATATATATTTAAATGAATCATATTTCTATGACTGAGGATTTAATCAAACTTTTTATTGCACAAACAAAATATTATGAATTCAAATACATTACTTACTCACACCTACATATGCATATAACGATACATAGATGATAGTATGAAGGCAATTCTACTCACCTTACGGCGCATTGCACTGAAACAATTGCCACAATCTTCCGGCCATTTCCATTAAAAATTTSTTGCAACTTGCTGATGTTTGCTCAAATTGAAATACTATTGTCTAAATATTTTCTTACATAATTAACTTAATTCATTTTGATTTTCATGCGACGTTGCAGTGAGTAAGCCAATAATGAACTTAACGGCTGAGCCGGCTCAACTCGAAAGCGAGCGGCTGAGTTGCGAAGCGGGTAGTGATCCTAGTAGTAWTTACGTTTGTATTTGTGATAGCGATAAATCAGTGATACCAATGAAAATGATGAAGACAACATGCCGGAAATGCTAAGCTAATTGTTTGCACAMGCAAAGTAAACAAATGATAGACGTCTAAGGACTCACACACACATATACGCACATTCTTAAAACGTAATTGCGATGATGAGGATAAGAGTGATAATTATGATGCCTGCTTGTTGTATGTGCGTTTCTGGCAGACAACAACAGTTGCTTGAAGGAAGTTTATCGATTCGATTTGCTTGTGTCTGGGTAAGTAGGTGTTGAAGTAATCAAATAGAATACCTGACCAGCTCTTATGCAAATGGTGATGCAGCAGATAATGCTGGTATACCTGAAAGCGATGCAYAACATATGAGACAAATTGAATTGATAATGTTGCAAATAGGGRTGAGCCATCGGATATTTTATTGACTTACGCACATTTCAAGGTAATTTAAGTGGTTGGGGCAATACTGGGAGCAAAAATAGATGGAGAACGAATTATTGATTACTCTCGTAACTCACACACCAAATAGAGARGATTTGGTAGTTYTTTYCACAAGTTGTTGTACATTGCTTTATAAATGGATTTGGTAGGTCGATATTATAGTTTATGGAATAAGTTTTATCCGGTTTAGCTCATGAGATCRAAAAGTTTCGACTAAAGTTCACTTTAATGATCGAGGTTTTTATTATATTTATCATAGTAYATCGTCACTTTATGTACCTAAGTGTACCACGTATATCGGGAAAGCTCTCCCATTCCAAATACATTTTTTTATTCATGGTAACCATTTCCGAAAATCAACTCTAAAAAATAAAATTTTTTTTCCCATAAAAATTTAATTTAATTGCAAGATCCTTGGACTTATCACGAGTTCATCGAAATACATTCAAGACCAAATTTGCCCTGGACTGGCACACCTTTTTTATGTTCCTGTGAAKATTTATCTCCATAAATCAATTAGTGTGCGTTCGGCAGCTGTTTGTTTACAAGCAGTCCGGATCCGATATGGCCTTGTGTGTAGGAGAGGAAAAATAAGTTCTTTTGCAGATCGAAATTTCAAGCTTTATAAACAGACAAAATTTCGTCGAAAGAAGTATTCACTATTATCACAAAAACAGCAAAAAGTCAACGAAATGAGAAGGCCGATCATAATTTGTGGTTTTTTTTTTTTTTTTTTGGTTTGAGGAACATTGTTTTAGGCTTTTATTGTTTTTATAAATTATCTAATAATAACTAACCAACTAACCAGTGACACCGATTAATACAATTGATCTATAAAAATGTATTGTTTTTAATAATTCAGCAAAATTCATTAGGAAACTAGAAAATCGCAATTGTTTGAAGCGCCAATTATAAAATTCAATTTAGATATAACAGAGAAAACACGTCTAGGCTTCCTTCGTAGTTTCACCTTCACGTTCCAGTTCTTTGCGACGCGCATGACGCATGCGCAGATTCGTACAGAGGCGCACGGAACAGAAATAGGCGATCTCGACAATACTCAAGATAGACACGCCCATAAAGAGACCCAACAAACCGCCGCAGTTGGCAAGAAAGTCAGTGGTACCGTATAATTCCGAGCGTCTGGAAGTTAGAAATTGTGCTTCTTTGAAGAATATGGAGACGCGGGACATTTTATTGCTGTGAAAAGACGAAAAGAAGAATATTTGAAGAGAAAAATTGTTTTGAGCTTTGTCCATGGAAATGAACACTGTCAATGTTAAAATATTTAAAGCATACATTTAGGCTTATATTACTTTTTCTAATAATTAAAGCATACCTTTAGTCTTCCATTTTTTTTTTTTTTTACTCACTTTGTTATAAAATTATTAACGTCTTCCTGCTTAAAAGTATTCGCGATTAATTTGTAGTCGAAATCTGATTGTGAAATTTCCGCTTCATAAGCGATGGAGGTACATGAAGGCAAGCAATCACATTCGGTGCGTCCACGCACATTTTCGCCTGCACTTTCAGCGCCCTGATTAAATTCCTTGAGTAAGAGTTGATCCTCAGCTTCGTTGATGCATTTCACATTGCTGGCGCCACAAACTGGTGTGTCCGGTGTATCTGTTGAAGGAGAAAAATGTTGGACATTAAACAGAGACTTGTTAATAAATCTATGGAAACATACGGGGCATGGAGAACTTGACGCAGCCACATTGGCTCAGGGTGAAATTCGACAAGCACTCGAGCTCACAATTACTTTGCGTATAAATTTGGAAGTAGCGCAAATAACGCTCCTTTTGGAAGTAGCACTGACGTCTGAAAAATATTTTTATCCAAAATTGGTTTTAACAATGATTTGAAATATGAAAACCCACCTATGTGGCTCATAGTGACGCAAACCCTCCGAGGTAGTTATAATTTTGGGTTTTATCGAAATCAAAACCTCCTGATCGAAGGGTATGCGGAAGTATTGTTTCGATATTTGTGCCACCTCGCCGGGTGTATGCAAAATGATCTAGAAAAAGTTTAAGGGTAACATTGTATGTATATATGAGAATTTTTTGTCTATAAGAAATTAGGACTCATTCTTTCTGTATTAAATTCTACGTTCTTATTCTTTTAAGATTGCAATTTACTCTATTCAAATAAAGGAATAAAATTATCGATATTTTTATAAAAAATCATGGTACTAAATTTTGACTAGAAACTTTATTATAACTGATAACGCGTKGAAACAATCGATATCAATTTTAAATAATCGATAAACTATGTACCACCAGGAAAAATAATCGATATTTTTAACAAGAAATAACTAAATTTTGAAAGGAATAATAACCGGTAAAGATTTGAGTCATCAAGAACTTTTTTAATYAATCAATAAATTATCGACCACTATGGGACAAATATCGATAGGTTTTAAATTATTAATTAAGTTTTGACTAAAAAATAAATAATAACCGCTAGCAATTTTAAGTAATCGATAACAATTTTAATTTATCGATAATTTATCGAAAATTTCTATAATATATCGAAAAAAAAATTTACTTCAAGTTTGCGCAAAAATATGTGATCACTTATACACATGCATAAACAAAAATATATGTTTTTATTAAAAATATTTCGAATACTAAAATAAGTAAAATTGTATGTAAAGAACAGTGCCCTCACCTTGAAACCCTGCACCGGACCGCGACACATATTATCAAAGTCCTGTTCGAATCCATTCAACACCATATATAGACCAGCACGTGCTCCGGGACCCAGCACACGTTCCGGATAGGTTTCAGGATCGGCACTTGTACTATAGCCGTCCTCCACATTCCAATCGGTGGCCGTGCGATTGTCAGTTTGAAAAAGCATCTCCTTAATCATACTAAGGAAATTRACAAATATTTGTTATAATTACAATAGCATTGTTTAAAAAATAATATTTTTGCAAAATACCACTCTCAACATTTTTTTCAATAAACTTTTTCTTGTACTACATATTTATGGCATAGATGTAACTCTCACCCCTCCGGCCGGAATATCTCCATGGGACTCAGTGAATTGAAGCTATAACAAACACCTTCTTCGGTTATAAATTTCTTAAAGATTTGTTGGCATTTCTCTGGAGAGTTACGCCATTTGCAATTCAAGTAAGTCTCATTAAACACAGGCGTGATAGCGCTCAGCGAACTGACGATCTCAGAGCCCGACGCTAGCTGATGTCCAAATTTAAAGTCAGTCAACAAGTGCGCATCACAGACTTGAGCCAAAGCTTCCATGCGTACGCTCCTGCAAATTCAAGCAAATTTCGTGAGTTTGTGGATTATTTTCATTACTATTTTCATACTCTTGTTCCGTTAAGTCAATCTGAGAAACATTGTTAAATCGGTCCGATATTTTCCAATACATGTCGGTGAAATTCAAAACGGTTTGCCTTCCCTTTGTTTCAGTACAAACCGTTACAGTGGGAAAAGGTATCTGCCAGACAGGTGTGGATTTCTCGGCAAACGACACAATTACCGGATTATTGTTCCACTTATCCCAAATATTCATGATCAGCGTGGCGCAAGTGTAAATGGAGAATATCAGCACAAATACCCAGAAAAGTCTGCAAGTTTTCAAAATGAAGATATTAATATAGAAAGATATCGGTAGTTCTTTTATACCTATATCTATATGAATCTAAATATTTTCTTTAATTGTGCACATTTTCTATAAAAATATCGGTTTTTATTCTATAATCCTAGAAATGTTTGCTGACAACTCCCCTTTTTGGAAGCCGAATTAGGTTTAAAATTAAAATTTCTAATAAATTTTACTTGAAATTCTGAAATCCAAAAACTACTTCCTGARGTTAAGAAAAAATTAGTTTTTTAAAGAGACGGCAAAATATTATTTTCTACAATACTTTAATATTTCCACCTCTCAATTCTTTAGAAAATCTCATACTTTCAGAATAAATAAATTATTATTTAATTTAATGTTATAATTTTCAAAAAGTTCTCTYCACTTCACCTTTCCCAACGCGGCCGTTTCGTTTCGCCCAAATAACGGAAACCGTGTATCGTACTGTAATCACAGTATTCTTTCAGAATACCGCACGTCGCCTGACATTTGTTGCCATATTTAATCGCCTGCTTTGTGTCCACATCKTCTGCGTCGCTGTCGTTGTCGATATTCTCCCTCGAAGCAGCGGYGGTTTTCGCCATGAGCGCAGCACGTTTCCTAAGAGGGTTATAGAGACAAGGGGAGTAATTCAAGTCAGGTTTCTAAATKCAGGTATATTTGTATAGATATTTTGGGTAATTTACAGACATTTTCCATTATTTTCTTAATTATTTTCTGATCACATTGAGTTAACCGGTACTTATGTGCGGTTTTTAACAATTAAGAAATATATATAATTTTTTTTACGAGATGTAAGTGTTTATACTTTTTGGACGTTTTTACATATATATTCCAAAGATTTTTTTCTGACATTTGGTTTATATATTATATTACATGATATTCAGTTTTTTATTTTATTTTTTACACTCAAACTTTTTCAATGTAAATATTTATAATTTTTTTTAATTATCAAGGGGTTAGAATTTTCAAAACAAAAAATTTTTTTATTTTACTTTCTTTATGCACATATACTTAACAATACACACAGAAAATTTCATATCGTTCGGCTGAATAGTTTCGAAGTTACACGAGTGCTTGGAAGAACAAGGCCAAACTTTAAACGAATTTTTCTCAAAATGGTGCTTTCAAAAAGACGTTGACAAACATTATTCCAAAACGGCTAAGCCGATTAGTCTCAAATTTTAACAAGAGCTTTCTAAATATATKTTTTAGTAAGTAAACGGAGATTTTTTTCTCACTGATAAAMATTTTTTTTATAAATAATTTAAGGCCGAAATGTTGGTCAAAACTAAAAAAAAAAATTTTTGAGCTCCCGGAGATTAGCTGAAGTAAATATTTTACCCAAATACATTTTACCCAATACTAAGTTTAAAAAATACAGTTTAAAGATAATAGAATAGGTTTGGATCAATAAACTTAAAAGTGTTCTTACAAAAAATCTGGAAAATTCGTTTCTTTTGGTCTGCTGACTGTATATACATAACCCCTTAAAGCTTTTTTTATTTTATTTTGTTGATAAAGCTTTGTATATTATGGTATACAAATTTGCCACGAAGTTTGTAACATACAGAAGGAGACACTATATGTAGCAATGTAAATGTGATTACTGTATTATGTTGTATCGTTACCTTATTTTGATGTTACTTAAATAAGCAATCCTGTTGTACTTTTGAAATTGTATCATACCTTATTTTAATGTTACTCGAATAAGCAACCCTGTTGTACTTTTGAAATTGTATCAGACCTTATTTTAATGTTACTCGAAT